GTTGTCATCTAGCCGAATGCTGCAGTATCAAGCTATTTTAAGGAAGCAAGATGATGTGCAACTTCAAACAACAAGCCATCTTAATCCAGCTGAGTTTCTTCGCAGTCAGGTGAACGAGGATGAGCTTGTGCATAATTGTGTGGAAGTGATTGAACAGGTATATGCCAGTAGACAAGACCTCAAGGATGAGCCTCTGGATGCAGTAGATTGGGAGCTGTTTACGGATGGATCCAGCTACGTAGAAAACGGAATCAGGTACGCGGGATACTCTGTTGTTACAGTATTACAGGTTGTAGAAGCGCGTGCATTGACACCCGGTACGTCGGCTCAGAAAGCTGAAATTATTGGACTCACTAGAGCATTGATATTGAGCTCTGGACGAAAGGTGAATATATGGACTGACTCCAAGTATGCTTTTGGGGTGGTGCACATTCATGGTGCACTATGGAAGGAGAGGGGGTTGTTGAGCTCCCAAGGGACTGCTATAAAGCATCGGGAGGAAGTTTTGGCTCTATTGGATGCAGTACATAAACCAGAGCAGGTGGCAGTGATGCATGTCCGTGGACATCAAAAGGAAGATGGGAAGGTCTTCCGAGGCAATCGGTTGGCAGATGCAGCAGCGCGGGAGGCGGCACGACAGGTATGGACTCAGATGGCTTTAGTACCTACTAGGACAAATCCAGCTACCCCTTACTTGTACCAGCCTCCAAGATACTCCAGCGAGGATGAGAAGCTGGCAGCATTGCTGAAGGCCAAGAAAGGTGCTACCGGCTGGTATGTTACTGACACCGGACAAGTGGTTGTTCCCTCTGGGGTAATGAAAGCTATCCTAGTAGCGGAACATAACAAGAGTCATTGGGGTGCAGAGGCATTGGTGAAGTTTTTAAAAGGTGAAATAGTCTCCAACCAGATGTTAAGTTTGGCAAAACGGGTGAATGCAATGTACCCAGTATGTTTGAAGAATAATCCAGTTGTTAGGAGGCAGGTACAAATGGGAAGGTTACAAATAGGACCAGAACCGGAAGATTACTGGCAGGTAGATTTTTCTGAGTTACCAAGAGCTCAGGGATACAAGTATCTCCTAGTGTACGTTTGCACATTTTCAGGTTGGCCGGAGGCTTTCCCATGCAGAACAAATCAGGCTAAGGAGGTAGTTAAGACTCTGTTAAGGGAAATAATACCCAGATTTGGGGTACCTTTAGGATTGTCATCAGATAGGGGTCCTCATTTTATTGCTCACATAGTTCAGGAGGTTGCCCGAATGTTAGATATAACTTGGAATTTGCATACCCCGTGGAGGCCCCAATCTAGTGGGCAAGTGGAGAGGATGAATCAGACTTTAAAAGGGCAAGTTAAGAAGATCTGTCAGGAGGCTAAAATACAATGGCCACAGGCCGTACCCCTAGCTCTTCTCCGAATTAGAATAAAACCCAGGGAAAGAATAGGAGTAAGTCCTTACGAGATTTTGTATGGGAAACCTTACCATGCAACCATTATGAAAGGAGACCCACATGTAACAGAGGACCAGACAGTATATAATTATGTTGTTTCACTACACAGAATTCTCAGTGCTCTACGAGGAGCCTTGCGGTGGAACAGGCCTCTTTCCCTGGAAAACCCGGTCCATGATGTACAGCCCGGGGATCACGTATATATAAAGAATTGGTCTACTGATCCTCTCCGAGAAACATGGGATGGCCCGCATCAGGTGATCCTGACTACATTCACCGCAATCAAAGTGGCCGGAATCGATTCCTGGATACACTACACCCGCGTCAAGAAGGCACTGACTCAATGGGTGTCTCAAGCAGTAACTCCTACGCGGCTAATTCTTCGGGCAAAGTACTCTTAATCATTGTTTTAATAACCATTTCTAAATTTGTGCTTAGTGATGGACATGTCATTGTTACTGTTTCAGAACCTGTGATTGGAGCTATGGAAGGGAAATCTGTAAGGATGATCTGTGAATTTTCTGACAACCAGGGAGCTGAAGCCAGCGAAATAGTTGTGTTTTGGAAAAAAGGGCGAGTATTTAAAAACCTCACTTCTGTTACAGTGTGGAATATGGAAACCCAGAGAGGTAACACTACTTTAGAATTGACTCATGTCACCCACGCAGATACTGACACCTATGTTTGTTTAATTAGAATACGGTGGAGCTATAGTTTTCAACATATTAGATTGAGAGTTCAATCATGGGAACAGGAGAATTCAAAAGTATCCATGATACCTTATTGGGCAAGAGTAGACATGTGGGATGGACCCCCTCTTAGAATAAATTGTTCATTTACCATACAACAAGAGTGTGGATCTAGGTTCACGGTCACTTGGTGGAAATTCAATAAACAAGGAAATTGGGAAAAACCGGATGGGAGAAGCAATTTTTGGGAAGAAGATGGAAAAGGTGTAGGGTGGCTGAATTATACTCAGCCAAGGCTAGGAAGAGATGAGGGATTGTACCTTTGTGTGGTTGTATGTGGAATAGATGGCACATATGGCAAGACAGAGGTGCAAGGAAGGAGTCATTTAGGGAAGAAGATACACCCCACCCATGGAGTGTACTGGGCTGTGCAGGGGACATCAACAACTTTGACGTGTAGAATAGATAATAACATTTCTTATTCAGAATTTGGATGGTGGTTTCAGTCAGGAAATGTAAATTTAGGAAAGAAATATCAAATAGGGAATCGGTTGGGAGGAGTTTTGACTTTGGTGATAAAGGATACCCAGGTGTTGGATGAAGGGAATCATTGGTGTTGGGTAGCTCAGGACGCATGGTGGGGACATGCTAGAACAGCTGTATCTTTCTCCTGAGGGAGAGCAAAATTTAGAAGAATCAGGGAGGCAAAGAACAGGACTATGACATTTTACTCTAGACCAAAGCAAGAAAATTTAATAGTAGGATTAATAAGGGATTTTGGAGTAGTTCAGAATGTGACAAGGATTACAGCCTGTTTACCATTAGCTCAATCAGCAGGAGAACCAATCCCCTGGGGAATTATACCGGCTGGGGATATGCCTGAGGCCTACCTAAATGTGACACAGAGTTGCAAGCTTGTTCCTAAGAAATATTATGAGTGACAGCATGGATGCTTAATACTTGAACGAGTCACTAGGGAATATTGTCAAGGGATGTCAGGATATTTCACATGGTTAGAAACTCCAATCCAACCATATCAATGTGTTATTTCAGGATCTGCTCCAGTATTAAACCATCACTGTAGCAGAATAACATTAAGAACTGAAAGGGAAAAGGAAGAAGAGGTTTGTCAAAATATTACTCAAACTCAGTCCTTGGAAGATGAATGGGGAGCAATTTGGGGACCCGGCCTTTTAGAAACCTACAGTTATTTGGGAGAAGTTCATTGGTGCGTACAATGGAGCGGGACTAAAAATCAGACTCACTCAAGCGTAATGAATCTACATACTACAAAAAGACAGATTAGGGAACAGAAGGAAATATGGAATTGTATTCAAGTAATAACTTGTGATACCCCTGAGACCCAGATTGGGTTAGTACCAGTGAGAGTTTTGTTAAAATGGGGATGTGAGTGTAGGGGATATAATCATACCATAAGAGGAGAAACTAAGGGAAATAAGAATGGTACAAGAATCATCAGCTGTAAGTCTACAACCATTAGGAGTCCAGGGAATTTGGTATGGGTAATGGGACATGGGGAATGGACCACACATATGCCCATTGACGGACCAGTCACTCAGGTAACTTTAGGGATTCCCACCTTGTGCCCGTTGTGGAAACAATCAAGATTAAAATCAAAACTTAAAACAAATATAAATGATGAAGACCAGTGGCATGAACCTGATGGTGGTGTTAAATTTGGATGGGCACTGGAATCACTCTTTTCACCAATAGCAGCTTATCGGAATAGGGATATGCTATATAAGCTAATGGGGCAAACCGAAAGATTAGCTGCCACCACCAAAAAGGGGTTTAAGGATTTAAATTTACAATTGCAAGCCACTAGCAGGATGACTTTACAAAACCGAATGGCATTGGACTTGTTGCTATTAAAAGAGCATGGGGTATGTGGATATTTAAATCAGAAAATTGATCATTGTTGTATCCATATTCCAAATGTAACAGTCGAGGTCGAACGAGATATATCTCAGCTAGAAGAAGTAGAGGATAGGACCCAAAAATTAGAACAACAAGCAGAACACAATTGGGTAGGGGAAGTATTTAGTTCTTTGGGGCTCCAGGTCTCTGGTTGGATTTCGTCAATAATTCAATATGTGATAATGCTGCTGATTTTAACCTTTGTTGTGCTCGGAGCTTATAAGTGTATGGCAAGGATTGTTAGCAAAGAACGGCTTCACATCCGGAGACTGATCAACGCGATGACAAGGAGGACCACGCCTTCTCCATCTCCTTCAGCAGATCGAGAAGACGGATTGAAGACTGTTAGTTGAGCATCCTTGCAACTGGAAGATTGAAGGATGCTCAAAAGGGGGGATTTGTTGCATTTCAGGCTAGCAAAAGTTTAGTAGAAGTAGTTTGGCTAAGGCTTAGAATTCTTAGTAGGCCATAGGCTGTGTGTTGTTAGAAACAGTTGTTAGGTAAGGGCAGTACGGAATACTGGAGAGGTAGGAACTTATTTCAGAATACATTCCAAGAGTAGGCTGTGGTAGAACATGTCATTATTCACATGATGGATGGGTAGGTCTTGGGGGAATACATTGTTTTTACCTAACAGAGTGAAGAGGAGTTATAATCATAAAAGTGTTCAATTTAAACAAGGACTAATCTGTAAATAAATGATTGTTGGAGTGTAACGTTGACAAATATGTGTTGAATTAAGCAACCGTTGATATAGACTCTATATAAACGGAATGGTTTGTTAGCTCGGGGGTCTCTGACTTTGGACGTTAGTCCTCAGGCTCCCAGGGCCCTCAATAAAGCACCGCATAAAACGACTTCGGTTGTTTTGTGTTCTCATTACGGGCAACACTTTTACAAATACATCGGCAACACCGGGAAGAACAAGGACAAACTTTGTTTTTATTGAATGCAGGGAGAACATTGCAACATGGGATGAGGAAAACCCTGAGGTACCGATGCCTCCTCTCGGTGTCCAGAGCTTGTGCTTGCCTGCAGCACCCTCTGGCTTTCCCTCAGGATGAAAATAACGGCATGAAAATAACAGTCAAGGAAAAAGCAACCGGGGGAATAACAACAGCCAATGAAACAGCATCCAAAGTGTGCCTCATCTAAAAGGGGAGGTGAAAAATTGCTGGCATCCCATTAACTTCTTGAAAGTCTTCCTCCTTACTTCTTCATACTTCTTCTGTGTCTTCCTGGGATGCTTTTCTCTGGTACTCATAGGCATCCCTGATGCGTTGAATCCATAGCAATTCGGACTTGGTAAACAGGGAGCAGCACTGGGAAGCGCCATGAATAGGAGGGAAACAGGAACAACAGACAGAGGGGCTCCCTGCCCTATTCTGCTCTACGTTCTGCGCCTCCTTCTTATCCTTCCTCCCTCTCTGTGGCAGTTTTATACAGAACCTGAAAAAATCAGAAAGGGAAAATAGGGAGGAAAAAAGAAAGCAGCTGGTGATGGAGGCTGGGGGCAACAGGGCTGCCTGTGCTCTGCCCTGTCTGGGAAGCCGCTGCTGGAGGAGTTGGGAAGGGGCATTTCCAACGCTACAAAGCGATCGAGTGAGCGAGGTGAATGGGGAGAAAAAGGCTTCTGGACATCCCATCATCCCCAAAGGGCCCTGCTCCTGGTCTGTAAGCAGGGAGGTTTGGCAGGGAGGGCTGCAGCAGGTGCCAGCACCTCTTCCTGCTCAGGGGTGCGTCCGCAGAGCCTAAGGAAGAAGATGGGGAGCCCCAGCAGGGATGGCAACGGCTGGCAATGCAGGGAATGAGCCCTGCATGCAAAAGGCAACTGGAGAGGATGGGAGTGAGTTCCTCACCAGCCACTGTGGGGAGGGAGCAGCGAAAAATTGGGCAGAGCCATCAGCAGAGGAGACCGTTGTGGGAACACAGAGGTATTGGTCGTGCTCACAGAAATTTGGGAGTGCACCGGAGCCCAAGGCATCCATCCCAGCGCCGGTGTGGGAAGGGCTGGTTGGCGTGGGAGCCCCTGGCCGTGCCCAGCGCTGCGGGGCTCCAGGAGGAGTTGCTCTGCGCAGGAAAGACTCTTGGTGGCAAAGCAGTGGCATGGGCAGGGAGCAGTTACCTTCTCAGCCACGATTCCCTGGTGTGGTCGGGTGGGGAGTCAAGTGGGGCACGTCGGGAGCGCTTCTGGGGATGGAAAATGGGAGATTTGTAACGTCAGTTTCCCTGTAATAAATACTCTGCCAGACAGGAGAGGGCAAAGCTCTCATTGCTGTGTGGCTGAAGGCAGGAGAGCAAAGCAGAGCTGGGGAGAGCTGGGAGAGAAGATAGGACAAGCTTCCCCCAGGCAGGCTGGGCCACCAGAAAGGATTGCCCCTCTCCCGACTCTCCTGCTGCTCTCCCCTGAGGGCACCCGAGTCCCTGAAGCAGGCAGGAGCCTGGAGCTGCTGGCACGAGTGCAGTTTATTCCCAGAGCCCTGCGGCCTCTCCACCTGGCCCCAGACCTGGATGGGCTCTCATCCCTGAAAGTTTGTGTCCCAGTTCCTGGGTTGCTTTGCAGCTGGGGACACACCAGCACTGCTTGGCCTTTGCCTTGCTCTGCTGGAGCCGGGCTCGTTGTGTCTCCAGCAGACTCAGGCTGGGCAAGGGGGAGATTTGCTCGGGCACTTGCGCTGCTTTCCTGAGAACAGGGCACTAGAGAGAGACACAGGTCTCTGTGGATCTGCTCCAGATGAGCCAATACTTACAGAGAGCTCACGGAGGGCAGCTTGAAGAAGGCAGCGTCAGCTATGACAGCCAGTGGGTTGTGGCGGAGGATCCTGAGAAAATACAGAGCTCTGTCAGGGCTGATGGTGAGGATGTGAGCTGCGTGTGCCGGGCACGTGGGGACGGCCTGGCGGCTTTCAAGGAAGCCTTGCAGGAGGTGAGCAGGGCAGGAGAAAGGGCCTTTGCAGCTGCACACTCCTGGTGCTCCCTGGCTGACATCCACTGTCAGAATCAGGACTTTCCCCAGGGCAAGTCTGCTTTTGCCCACAGACCCGGCAGAGACCCTGCAGAGACTCGCCCTAGCGGGCCTTTAGCCCTGGTGCCACTTACAGCTCCTGGAGGAACTGCATCCCATGCCAGGCCTGGAAAGTGCCGCTGCGGATCCGTGTGAGGCCATTCCCGGAGAGATTTCTGGGGAAAGAGGAGGTCACACACAGGAATTGGGCCTGCCCTACAGAAAGAGGGGGCAAAGCGGGATCTCTTTGCAGGAAAGGTGCAAAGCCAAGGTGGAAACGGGAGGAAACTGCTGCTTTCTCAGTATTTGTAGCCTGCCCAGGAGAGGAAGCAAAGGCTGAACTCTCTTTCTGTTCCACGATGCAGCCAAGGCTGCAAGAACTGGCTGCTCTGATGGCTGCGTGTGGACAAGCTCCCTGGGGTCTGTGCCCTGGCGTGGCCTTCCAGCCATCGGCATTGACCTCTGCAGTTCAGCTGGGCTCTGGGCAGGGCAGATTTAGGGGAACAGGAGCATTTTCCTACACAGGAAGGCTTCCCAGTGCAACGGTTGAGCTGAAGACACTAGAAAGAAACTTGATCACTCACAGAAACTTCAGGAAAGGCAGTGGCTCAAAAGCCCGTTCCTCAATGGACAGGATCTCGTTGCAGGACAAATCCCTGTTGCAGTTAGAACAACAAATGTCACTTCCATTTGCCCTGTCCCTTTTACTTGCCTCTGCAGCCTGCATCCCAGGAGGGACAAAGGGCACCATGTGCCTGGCGGCCTGAGCAGCAGGGCCCCAGCGAGCCCTCCTCCGCCCTGGGCAGGGCACGGTGCTTACAGGTGCTTCAGCAGGAACAGCCCGCTCTTCACAGGGCTCTTCACAGCCCGCAGCTCATTGTCTCTGAGCACTCTGCAAGGAGACACAGGGACATTGTGACAGCGGCCACTGGCCTGCAGCAAATGGGATCATCCTGGGAAAATCTCCTGCAGCAGCACGACTGAAGCATCGCTCTGGGTCACTGCAGGGATCGTCCCCACTCCTGGCCAGAGCAGGCCCTTGCTCCTGGCCGGCTGAAGCTGAGCACAGCTTGATCCCTGGGCAGACAGACACGGGGATGGTGCCCTGGGCTGCAAGAGACTCGCAGCAATTCTTGCCCTGCTGGGAAGCTGTGGTGATTCACAGCCCTCCTTGCAGAGCAGCTGAGCTTTGAATTCCAATGGAAGTGGGTGGAGTGGGGGCAGCTGCTCCAGCCCCAGACCAAAGGAGGCAAAATCCACAAACTCCTGCCATTTGAAAGGCTGCAGGGCACTTACAAGGTCTCAGTCCATGGGTAGTCCTTCCAGGCTTGTTTTCCAACAGTAGCAATGGAGTTGCCAGTGAAATCTCTGCAAAGAGACAAAAGACCCGGTCCTCCCTCAGGAAAAGCCATTTCCCTGCCATTGGCCTGCTGAGCTGGAAGCGGGCTTTGCCTGGAGAAGGCACAGTGTGCCCAGCCTGGCTTCACCCTCATGCCAAGCTCAGGCCCCCCCATCTGTGGCCAGGGATTGCCCCGGGTGTCCCAGGTGGGCTTTGCAGACACAGGGAGCTGAGGGGGGGCAGCTGCAGGGCTCTGTGGGGCCGCGGGACTCACAGCACGGTCAGGGCTCGGCGGCGGTTGGCCGGGGGCACGGTGGCCAGGCCGGCGTGGCCGCAGTTCAGCTGCCGACGGCCTGGGCAGCGGCAGGGCTCTGGGCAGAGCTCCTTGGCCGCTCTCGGGGAGGGGGCTACTGCCAGCAGCAGGGCCAGCAGGAGCAGAGCGCGCACGAGATGCATCACCAGGTCCATGGCGAGGCAGGACTGGCTGCAGTCACCTGGGATGCAGACCTGAGCTGGAGCTGTGGCAGTTCCTGTGTCACAGTGGTGCTGCCGATGTCACAGTGGTCCTTCTCGTGTCACTGTAGCATTGCTTGTGTCACCGTGGTGGTGCTTTAGAACTCGCAGCAAACAGCAGTTCAGGCCGTGATGTCACCAAATGACTCTGTCTCAGAGCCGTCAATCTTTGGAATCATGGAATGGATTGGCTTGGAAGGAGCCTTGAGGTTCATCTACTACCACCACTGCCATGGCAGGGAAACCTTCCGCTGTCCCTGGCTGCTCCAAGCCCCCTCCAACCTGGCCTTAGGCACTTCCAGGGCTCCAGGGGCACCACAGCTGCTCTGGGCACCCTGTGCCAGGGACTCCCTGCCCTCACAGGGAAGAATTTCTCCTGAACACAGGATCTAAGCCTGCTCTGTGTCACTGTGGAGCCATTCCCATTTGTATTGGCTTTGTGTGGCCAGGTTTTGCCATGGGTTTGGGGCTGCAGGTGCTGTTGAAATTTCTTTTGCTTCTCATTATCCTGCTCTGATTTCCTTGGCAATAAAGGTAATGAATATCCCCAAGTTCTGTCTGTTCTGTCCATGATTGTGACCGGGGAGGGATCTCTCCCTCTCTTTCAGTAAACTGATGAGCCTTTCGCTGGCTTTTCTCTCCGCTCTCCCCTTGCGCAGAGCGGTGACTGCGCCTTCAGTGCCGGGCACCTGGCATCCAGCCAGGGCCAAAGCCCGGCCGGCGCTGGGAGAGCCCGGGGAGCTTCCCAAAAGCCGGGCTGAAACTTAAACTTTAAGGCATTTAGAGATTTTGAGGAGCTAAGATTTTAGTTAGAAATAAGCCTTACTAGAGTTAATTAAAATAAGAATAATAAATGAGTAGGCGTTGATGAAGTTAGGAGTTAGTAGTTAACTAATAATTAATTGCTTGTCAGCACAATGTTTGGTTTGCTGGGTTCATAATGAAGAATATAGAAACTGATAAATAGCTTTTAGGAACATAAGACAATTGTAGGCCTCCTCTGTTCTGAAACCAATTGAAGACAAGGAATGGGAGTTCTACCAAGAGTTCATTTGTCATACTCGCATTGAAAAGGTAGAAAGGTCAGAACGAGGAAGACTTCATTTACTTCCTCATTTTGGGACCCCTCCCCATAAAAGGGACCACCGACCCATTTCAAGGGACAAACTACGCATGCTTAATAGCTTTTGGAGTGATTAGCATACGAAGCGGGGAATGGGATGTACCAAAATTATGAATATGTATTTGTATTTTGTATATTCAATACTTGTATGGATAAAAAGACTCTGTAATCACCTGGAAGGTGCAGTGTGTATTTGGGAGCTATCCCGCACGCTGCCCGGCGTCGAATAAACATACACTTTCTAACTTTAAACTGTTAGAGAGTTTTTGTCCATCACAGTTGGATATC